CTTCCTTTCCATCTCTCCACCGACTGGAGTGCACGAGAGAAGGGGGATTTGTTTTCCGGGGGCGTGGCTGGCCAGTGGCTTTGAGTTGGGGACCTGATGGACAGGGACAGTACTGGCGGGGACTCTAAAGGGAAAGGATCCAGGCGGCCAAGAGTAACATTTCCTCCAGCGGACATTATTTGGCGACACAAACCTGTGGAAAGAGGACTCTGCTCTATACTGAGCTGCTCACCGGCTGGCCGCACAAGAGGTGCCCTTTTCTGGTCTCTCTCTGTGCCTGTTGTTGGTGTGTGGTGTGTGGGGTGTGCTGTGTGTGTGTGTATTTGCATCACAAAACCTGTGGAAAGAGGACTCTGTCTATACTGGCTGCTCCACCGCTGGCCGCACAAGAGGTGCCTTTCTGTCTGTCTCTCTCTCTGTGTGTGTGTGTGTGTGTGTGTATGTGTGTGTGTGTGTGTGTGTGTGTGTGTGTGTGTGTGTGTGCGTGTGTGTGTGTGTGTGTGTGTGTGTGTGTGTGTGTGTGTGTGTGTGTGTGTGTGTGTGGTTCTGAGTCTGCTCACCTTTTCAGTATGCACATTCATTGGCTTGGCTTCTTTTCTCATGCAAATGTATAAATTGGTTGGTCGTGCTACTCAACGTCTTTTTGAAGGAGACACAGACGAAGCCGGTGTTTCTCATTCAGGTTTGCATGATTATAATGCAGCGCACCGTGAATTAGTTCAGCTCTGATGGATTAGTATGTGTGTGTGTGTCCAGAAAGAACGACAGAACCAGATTGTGCTAAATAATAAATCCCCCCAATATGACCGAAAACTTCCAAACTAGGTTATTTGTTCATTATTCGCTCATTATATCATTCATCCACCTTTTTGTCTTTTGCAGTCGACTGAACGTGCGTTAATGTCCGGATGCGTCTCTGCACATGTGTTGTAGACATGTATGCTTTCCTGCATATCATGCTTGGAAGCCACTGCTTCCTGAAAGAGGAGAGGGGGGGGGGGCTAATTTATATGTGGCACGGTGCCAAGTTGCTGTTATGGAGAGGATGCTGAAGGTTAGAGGAACGTCTTTCCAGCCTGTGCGCCCACTCCGTCTGCCTCTCTGCTTCTTTACTCGTACGTAGAGGAGTAAGCATGACGAGAGGTTTGGAGCGGCACCGTGAGGAATCCCTTAAGTAACGTCAGTCCCCCCCCTCCTCTCATCCATCCCCCTCCTTCGTCCATTAGATATGTCATTTTATGAGAGTGTGGCAGAGTAGACAGATGGAGTATTGGTTGGGGGGGGGATTGTCGATGATGCCTGTTTTAGCTTGCGCCCCCTTTCTACTCCCTCATGAGATTTGCCCTTGCCTTGCATCTCTCCTACTTTCATTTTCTCTGTCGCTGCAACGTTTATTTATTTTATCTTCTGTCCTGCTGAGCCAGCGAGATTTACTGGTTTAAAGTCCATTCAAAGAACTGGGAGAGAGAGAGAGATGAAAGGGGGAGGGAGGGAGAGACTCAGGTGAGAGAGAGGAAAATGGAAGTAAAAACTGCCTCCGGGGGGGGGAGGGGGCGGGAGACGGCGGTTGATTTATATGTAGACATTTCTCCACACGTGTTTGGCCAGCGCTCCAATTAACACCTCCACCAATCCGTGGCTGCACTTGACAGATGCTGGATGAGAGAGGGCAGAGTGTATTCATTAGTGCTGGCTGTGTTTGTTTGTGGGGATTTGGCACATTCAAATTGTTTGCTGTGCTTCTCAGCGATTTCTGGGTCATTTCTCGCTGCAGTGTTTTCAGCTTCCGCTGCTTTGTTGAAGTTCACAAATTGCACAGTAAACCGACTCCAAGCTACTTATTTCTGGATAACGAACGAAAACACAAACCCATTTCTGATCATTTACCGGGAGGAAAAATATAGCCTTCCATGTCAGAATGATTGATTTGAAGATGGGGGGGAGGTGTGATTCCTAGTACTGATTCCTGTTCCTTGTATTCCTCCAGGGGGCGTGATAGACAAGGACCTGCGCCACTACCTCAACCTGCGCTTCCAGAAAGGCTCGGTGGACCACGAGCTGCAGCAGATCATCCGGGACAACCTCTACCTCCGCACCGTCCCCTGTGAGTTACCTCCCCCCCCTTCTTGAGTGAAACACGTTTTGTTATTTTTGCCGTCTTTCGGGCTCCTGTCCAAAGAGTGGCCCTGTGTCAAAATCTAGCTTCATTATTATTTCAGTGAAATATTTGCTAACATTCTTAATACATGACATTGCACACACTTGACAACCACGACTCAAGGACCACTCACTCACTTGATTGCATTGGACTTGCCACATTGGAATCTCAATCAGTTGATGAGCAATGCTTCATTAAGTGCCAGAAAAGGCTATATTTCCACTGCATGTTTTCAAGTGGCTTCACTAACCTTGACTTGGTCTTTTTTGGGTTTCCATTAAAAGGTTGTAGATAGTACCTACCTTTTTTGGTACCACTTCAGTACCGTCAATAGCAACCACAATTTTGTATATTCCTCCAACCCAGATTTGATTCCATGATTTGATCCATGGTTGCTTAGGAAAGAAGGACAATGAAGGGTTACTATCCGCAGTGAAAAATAAAATGGAGAAAAAGACCAACTCCCAAAGTGTGTTGAGTCGAGCTGGACAATGCAATGAAGATAAGGCTTGAGTGGACATTGCTGGTTTTGAAGGGCAAAATAAAACGGTCAAAATCAAATTGTCTGAAATTACTACAATTCATTGACACAGAGCCAAAAAGAGGCCAGGGAGAACTGGTTTAATGAGCTCCAGGGAAAGCAAGAAACAGCTAAGTTATGTTATTAGACATTATTTATCTAATATATCATTCCAATCACTTGCACTATTTCACTTTTTTTTTAACCATTTTTCCTTTTGTATTTACTATTAACTTGCACTATTTTTTTCTGTTTTATTGTGTTCCACTGTTGGAGGAGCCTGTGACATAAGATTGTTATCGTCATAACTACACTGTAGCTATGCATGTATGACCAATAAAAGCCTTGAACCTTGAATGTATAAGTCTAAACTTGAGGGCAACTGGCTTTTGGATCAATAGGGCAACGCTAATAGGTCAAGCCGACCGTGCTTCTTGCTTCTCATCAACCCGTATCAGTCTACTCAGAAAAGAGCATTATGTGTTGTGTAAGTGTGTGAGATGAGATGCTTTCTTCCCATTGTCTTCAGTCCCAATGCTCCCAACTACCTGTCTGTGGCTGTTATCAATTAGCAGCCGGAGTGTTGGTTTAGCTTTTCTGGCAGTTTGATTCTTTAACATCAAGCGCTGACGGCAGCCCTCTGTCGACAATTAGCCGCATTAACTGCATCACACAGATGAGCGGCTGAGTGTTGTGCAGACAATCAAAGACGAGATTTGGAGGGCTTTTTAGTTCAGTAAAGCATTTCAAGCTCAATTCCTATCTAGTTCTTCTGTGTGTGTATTTGTGTGTGGTCCTTATCAATCTTATTAAGCTGCCAGTGCTTATATGAGCTTAGACTTACTGATGTTTAATCCATACTCTCCTGATTGCTGTTTGCCATGTTTGCTGAACATATGCTCATCGCCATCAGTCAATAGGCTGCGATATTAAAGGGTGTCTGTTGGGGTTTGTATAAGCTCTTATCTGTGTGTAGTGTGTGTTAGCTCCGCATTAGCCTAGCCTTGCCATTAGGCCCAGCTGTCTGTTGGCTAACTCTCCCCTGAATCCTTAATGGAGGTGCATTCTTCAAGGCCAGGAGCACACAGATTTCACCGGAGCCACTTTTCCATCTCCATCTTTGTGCAGAATACAGCAGGACAAGAAGGGCTATTTGTTTGCAACATAAATGTAATTTTCTCTGATTACCACTCACAGAGGCCCTGCCGGTGTTGCATTGTCGGTAGAGAAAGAGGTGAAGGGGAGAACAAATGGGAGAACAAAGAGAGGGGGAGACACACAAAAGTAAATGAGGGCAAAGGGGCAGGAGGCATAATGATAACCACATAAGTAAATGGACTGCAGATAAACTGTTGTAGAAAGAGAGAGAGAGAGGGAGAAAGCATCAGGGAGGTTAACTGATGCATTAATGAAGCTTAAACAATGAGCCTCAGTTCCTGCTGACAGGAAGAGACCTGGTCATCACTGAGCTGGGTTTTTTTATTTTTGAACTGATGTACGGATCAATGTTTGGAATACACATTTGTAAATGGTCCAATTTTCTCTTCTATGAGCTGTTTGACTTCTTATTTTCCCAACCTTTACTTATTCTTGTACCTTTAGTATATGATTTTGGTTTAGGTAAAATTATTTTGGCTTGGTATTCCTAGAAAAGGAGAATTAGAACTGAATATCCTGGTCAAATCAAAGAGTACAGTAAGTCTGACTGTAGTCCCTTGCCAAAGGGCGATGGATCCAAAAAGGAACGATAGTATCAAGTCAGAGTTTGCTAAACTGAATATCTCAAATTGTTCAAACACAACTCTTCAGAAGCCTTGTGTACAAAATATGTGGTTTGTTTAAAAAAAGTCGATTACATTCAGGTTATTTTTCTTAGCTTATCATTGTTGATTGGTAGATTTCAAGTTACGTTGGATACAAGCATCAGCTTAATGAAAACTAATATAACTTTGATTTTGTGTGAAAATGACATTGTTTCAGCCAGACCACATTTGAGGTTAATCAGGCTCGTATCGTGATACTATCTCAGAGTGTAACGTCATTCTGTACAGCAGTATCATATTCCTAAGGAAAAGAAAACCTACCCACACATTCAAAGGTCACTCCCATCAGATAGCATTATCCAGATAATGAATCCAGATATAGATCACATGTGAATACCAGGTTTATAAAGGACTTTTGCTTTAAAAGAGCCACAAATGGACACCTTTTGAGGCAGGTGCATTTTTCACCAAGTATGAGAAAAACATCAAACAAACTGAGAGATGCCTGGTGAGATCAATGATATGTTAGACTAAGGGACGAAAGAAAAGATAATTGGTCTACAAGTGATGGATCTAAACTTGTTCATCACAGCAATTTAAACATAACCCTTGATTGGTGAAGAAAAGACATTTGATGGCGGTATGGAGGCTGACAGGCAGACAGTAGCAGAGCTCCTCAGTGTTTCCCCTAGGATGGAGTCATAGCAGCGGTGCTAAAGCACGTGGTCCCAGCATAATGTGAGCGCGGAGCGCGTGGAATTTTTTAGTGCGTGCGAAGTGCGCCCCGCCAATTTGTTTCTATGTGTCAGCACAAGAAAGGCTCTTGAGGCCTAGTACCAGGGCCGGTTCTAGACAATTTGCTGCCCTAGGTGAGATTTTAGGCGATATCTTATGTGTAAAGAATAAATGAAAAATGTCTACAAAAGACAAATACACTGCAAAAACTTATTGACATAGGCAATAGATGTAAAAATGGCTTCAAATGTATTCAGTATTGTATGAACATGTTTGAATTGGGGGGTGGACGTCACATCCTTTAGGGGGGTCCGGGGGTATGTAAAATGCTTCAATCTGGTGCACTTTGAGCACACAATTACTAGAGACCTGATCTAGGGGGCACAACTCTAAAACGTCCATATGAAAAAGATCGGTTTACATTTTAATAATCAAATAAGTATGTGAACATAACCAATAACTACCATAGCCAATAACAAATAAATGTAGCTTATTTTATTTTTGTTGTTCATTCATATCTTATTTTACCTAGTTAANTACATACTACTATATAACAATTGAAATCGATGATACCTTTGTTGCAGCCTGTAGATGTTTTGCGCAGGACATAGGCTAGAGTTTACACGGTAAACGTGTTACACAGTACATACGTCGGGAACAAAACGGTGAACGCGCGTGCAGCGCCGTGAAACGCTCGCAGATGGCCGAGACCGACGTAAAATGTGGCTTGTATATTATATGGCAAGCTTTGTAATAAACGGCGGCTTGCGGTGGAGTGAGTTCAGCTGGTTCAGTATGGCAGTCACCGCCGACCACCTTTTATAAAACCACCCCGACAACTATTCACTCTTTTTTTTTTTTTTTAAACCCTCTTAATGGGGAATTAACCCTGGACTATGGCAGTATATGGCATATGGTGCCATACTACAGTCGGTTCCATACTGCCATACTTTTTTTACTATGGCGGGGTACGGATTACGTAGGTGTGGGGGTGAATAAAGTGAAAATTTAAGAGTTACGTCCTAGTCGCTTACGCGCTCTTGAAAGATACGTCTCAAATTGAATTCCACTGATAGTACGTTTTACGGAAACATGCGAAACAAAGTACTTATCACAGTGCCACAAGGTCCCTTGATGGTTTCACAAGTCTTTTGTGTGGGAGGAGGATAAAAGTGAGTATGGGTTTAGAGAATTTTTCCCCTTGTCTACGCGTTGTCTAGACTGTCTGACTAGGTCTAAACTTGGGAAGTACTGCAGTGTCTTCACCGCGATCGCCGATAACCTGGGTTGAGGTGGTAGTCCTCCTCTTGTCGGTGCCTGTAACGGCAAACTTTCGCTACCTCTCGACAATCATGTATACGGTCCGATATCTACCACGACAAGAGTGTCTTACGTCCGGATACTATTCTGTCACAATTTAACTCGATTACTCCTTCCGATTTTACGTACTAGACAAACCCATAAAACTTTTTTATTTTTCATAATTATACGGAATATATCCATACCAGGATGTGATATATAAGGTTATATGCGACTGTCCAGTGATAATTGTTTAGAAACCCGTCACAGGGAGGGTATCACATAAACACAACAAAGGGTAATTAGTAACAACTATACTTTACTCTTATTAACACATAGACCACTACTCCGATAAACCAAGAACAATTCAAATTAAACCTGTAAGAGTTTTATTTCTAACCGGTGTAACCTAAGACAGAGTGTCGTAACTCCCTTCTTCACTTTTGTTGACCGCGTTTCGTTCCTCCTATCGCGTCCTAGTTTCTTTAGATGTTTTTTTTCTTCTTTAATTTTTCTTTCCCACCCCCTCCCTCTTCTACCTTTTTAGACAACGGTTAATTTCCCTACGTAGTTGTCTAATAAAAGTAATATATACAGAGAATAAACAAAATTTTGAAGCAAACTAAGGC